TAGGAAAACGAATAAATGCCATATTTGTCTTTGATGATAAACCTTTAAATGTAACACATTTAAATGTATTCACACATCCTTAACAGACCCAGTAAGGTTGAACTGAGAACCTGGGTTATCAAATACAAATAGCCCTTTACATATTCTCTGGAATATCCTTCCATCCAAATCATCTGTAACTTTATTCTGTTACAGAATGGTGGAGAAACTATTTCTCAGATGTCTTTATTATTTGCAAATACCCTGCTTGTCTCTGTAAAAGAGATCTTATTCTAGCCGATATTATTTTGAATATTTTGGTATTATATTTTGTTTGCCCAACCAGACTGCTTCAGTGATTAAGTAATTTTTATTTTTTTTATAGGTACGTATGTGAGGTGGAGAGGGGTAGTAAGAAACCTGTAGTGGTTGGATACTCTACAGTTTTATTGGCCCAAATAAAGAGGGAACAGAGTTTGGTAATATTTCATTTGGGTGATTAAGCAGCATTTGCAATTGCACATGGGTTGAACTATATTAATACGTTTAGTCATCTAAAGTGACATCAAGCTTGGCCAGAGTGGCTCAGTTGGTTGAGCATCATTCCATGCACCAAAAGGTTGCCAGTTCAGTTCCTCGTCAGGATACATACCTGGGTCGCGGGTTTGATCCCTGCTTGGGGCACGTACAGAAGGCAACCTATCAATGTTTCTCTCTCACATCAATGGTCTTCTCTCCCTCTTCTCTCTCCCTTCCTCTCTCTAAGCATGTTCCCAGGTGAGGATTTAAAAAAAAATGACATCAGTATCTTCTATTTCTGAGTCAAAAATTAAACTTAAGTATCCATTTTGGCATGAGGTGTTAAACAGTTCAACTCTACTATTAGAGTAAATATTTAAAATGCAAAGTTAGGGCTTCGTGCTTAGCTTTGACTACTACTCCGCAACATCTGCTCTCTCTTGCTTTGAGGATTGCTGTCTCTGCACAGTGTGGGAATACCTTTTCTATCTAACTTTGTTCTGGTTCCCATTTTGTACCCATCATCTTAAAACCAAAGTCTTCTCTAACTGGCTTCAATTATTTTCTTGTTTATTCTACACCTTACTTGTGGATTTTCTTCTGTATCCCTGTCTAAAATATCCTAAATGGTTGGAGGATGCTGTCTAATTCAAGTCAGGCATATGACTTGGGACTTGGACAGCTTATTTTACACAGCGGTGAAGATGGGGAAGGATTAACTATGAGAGGGAAATATGTGGTCATTAAATACTGTTAACCTCAGGAGTGTTACATCCTAGATTTTTAAGGACCATGATAGAGAAAATAACTGTTGCCGTTTTCCTACACAATTTTTGTTCAATCAGAGACAGGATGTTTGCTGGATGCACCAGTGCTCAAATGGGCTTGGGATTTAGTTTACTCCTTAAAATCACAACATTTCAGGTGTGGATGTGGCTTTATGCTACTATTGGATAATAGCCATCAGATTCCCTTTCTTTCCAAGGCACTTAACTTCATTGTCATTTCTTTCTACCATAATGACCTCAGACTACACTCTCCCTGGGTTAGCCTCCTTCTGTGCCCTTTACCAGTCTGTCCGTCAGTCCTCCATTGACGTACACATCACTCTGTTACAGCATTTGTCCCTATGTGTGTCTTTCCCTTGGACTGTGAGCTGTGTAAAGGCAGGAAAGGGTGTCTTTGATCATGTACTCTCCCATGCCGAGCTCAAAGTCTGTTTTATGGAAGGCCTTAGTGAAGATTGACACCTTCCTGGTAAGAACTCCCAAATCTTAAGACAATCTAGGGTTCGCAAGGGCCCTGTTCCATGGTGTCCTCTTTGAAGAGTGTAGGCTAAGGAAGCCTTCACAAACTTAGATGCATGCAAGTCATCTTAGCAGAGGATGGAAATGGTGAATCACGCCCTGGCTCTTGACAGTCAGCTTATAATTGACATGTCACTTTCTCTCACATTTGATTGCTCAAAGCAAGGGTCATAGCTGCGACCTAATGTCACGGGGATGAGGAGGAGCAACACCGCTATGTTTCTGGGAGGAGGAAAACAAGAATACTAGTGGGCAGCACGAACACCTGCTAAACCAATGTCTGATATGTGGTGGGCACTCAATACCTACTTAATGAAGTACCTGAAAATGCCTGTTGAAGTTTAAACGTGTTTCTATACAATAAGCAGAACCATTTCAAATCATAAAATATCTTAGTCACTACATTTTTTTTTAAATGAGGATATTAATATTATTGTCTAAGCTATGTTCGGCAAACATCTGGAGACTTTACAATAACCACCTGTTCACTTTATTCATGCTAAGAAAGGTATTATATTTGATTTTGTAGTTTTCAAATGCATAAAGTATGAAGTGAATACATTTTCATCATTAACATTTTTGCCTGAGTCATTTAGAAGACATTTTTTGGAAAAAGTGTCAAAGTCTTCAAATATTTGCACATTTAAGTTAATCTAATTAAAATATTTGAAATAATTTTTTTTTTCCAGAAAAGCTAACATCTGGCTCAAAAATTGGTCAGGAGCTTTGGAAAAATGAGTGTAATTAACTTGAAAATGAAGTATTGCTCTAGATTATATTCTGGTATTTTGCATTAAGTGGGTTTTTTTCTAATTGTTAAAGTAATCCAAGGGCATTGTTTAATATCTGGAAAGTACAAACTACTATGAGAAGGCTGAATTAAAAATTGCCACCCAGATAAAACCACTGCTAACTTTGTGGCATGATTCCAGACCATTCTTGTTGCAGAAGAGGCATATAGACAGGACAATAGAAGATACTGGCTTGTAATAGGGAGGTAACAATGGAAATATGAAGAAGTGACCAGATGAGAATATGTTTTAAGGACAAAGTTGGTAGGATTTGTTGATGGATGAAATTAAGGAGGATGATAGGAAAGTAATAGAGGACAGAGGGGATGGGTCCCTCTCCATAGTAAATAATGTTGTAATATACTCAGTATCTACCTATTTTCTTATTTCCTCAATTCAGCAATGTTTAACTTGAGGGAATTGGCCAAGGTTTGCTGGAATTTCAATATGGCAAACCAACCAGAGATGAAGCTATATGGGAACAGAAGAGACCAAGCCCAGAGGTCATCTTGATTCCAGTCCTCCAAGGGGGCGTGGCGAGATATGTCTCAGACCAGGGTGCTCTTGCTTTCAAGATCAGAATGGTAGTAGTAGACAGCTGCTGAGAGGGACATTTGTCTTGGGGCAGAGATGGCACAGTTCCTGAGAAAAAAGAAAAGACCTGGCAAGAGATACACACACACATTTTTTTTTTTTTTTTTGCAGTCTGCAGAACATAGTCATGCTTTTATCCATCAGGATAGGTCTTTGGATTGGAAAATAAGGAACTCAAGGCAGAGCTTGTTAAGGGAAGTTGCAGCTTTATGGGGTGATGGGTTCTAAGCCCATCACCAGGATTTAAGCAGCCAGACTATTTCTTCGCCCTGCTCTGGCTAAAAAGCACTTCCTTATTAGGCTGCCTGAATTTTCCTATGAAGTGTGTGAGGCTGAGCAGGCAAGACACATTTCCTTCACTCTGGCTGGGAGGGAGTGGGGAAGGTTGTGACTGAAGTTAAAAACTTGTGTTTATTGAGTGGCTTATCCATGGGACAGTGGAAGTCAGGAGAGGGTGGAGATAAGATAGAAATATGAGCCATAACCCTCTTCCTTAATCCCTCTTCTTTTGTGGCCTGGTTACAGAAACAAGCATATTAGGAAACTGATGACTAACCATAAGCATTAGACCAGGGGCGTAATAACTAGTGTCTGAGATGCCTGAGCAGTTGGAGCACTGTCTTAGCCGTGCACAAGTTCACTGAGAATGTCTGTTTCCACTCTGATGATGATCTAAAGAAAATCTTTTATCAGTTAGATATATAGGCCTTCTTATTTGCAGTGATAATTTGTCATTAAAATATAGTTTCATAGACTAAAACTTCCTATTTTTAAGTTAATGTTGTTCAAACTAGAGTCCAAAAATATCCATATGGGTGCATACCCTTTTTTTTTTTCATTGTAATTGTGAAGATAGAATCTTAATCAGAGTCTCGAGGAACGGGTGGGTTCAAATAGGTGCAAAAGAGGGAGAAAGGTGTTTCTGAGAGAGGAGGGAGTTTGAGATCAAGGATGGGCGTGGTACTTTTGGGGTGCCCAGCACATGAAGGATATGTCAGTTTTGGGTTTTTAAATATTCCATCCTTGTCTGGCTGATGTGGCTCAGTGGTTGAGTGTTGAACCCACGCACCAAACAGTCGCTGGTTCGATTGCCAGTCAGGACACATGCCCAGGTTGTGGGCCTGATCCCCAGTGGGGGGAATTCAGGAGGCAGCCATTCGATGTTCTCTCCCATTGATGTTTCTATCTCTCTCTTCCTCTCACTTCCTCTCTCTCTGTAAAATCAATAACAGGAAAAAAAATTTAAATATTTTATCTACCCTGTCTCTGATACCACATAATTTGGGGAACACTCGTTCCTCTATTTCCTCTATTAACTGCCTTTTCCCGATGGGTGCAGGAGCTGTGTGAAGACTGTTTGTTGAGAGGGTATGTTGAAAGGCCCCGTAAAGAACCATCTTCTAACCTTGATGTTTTTGATCAGTGTCTGACATAAATGTTCTTTCTCTGCCAGAATGTGAATTTTGTTTCCTCGGAACTTTACTTCTGAGTCGTTAATGATTCTAGTGGAGACATCTAAAGGAAGGCCCATTGCCTCAGCCCCGTGGGTGTCTGCTGGGCTTAGGAAGAAGGTGGTCCGCCCAGCACTAGAACCCCAAAGGGAAATGGTCTCTCTGTATGTACCAGCCTGATCTTATTTCACCTGTACTTAGGGATTCGTTCCTCTCAAATGTTACTGGTGTTCTCTCAAGTTAGTTTTTTCTTTTGAACGGAAAACACCCCAGCTCAGTGGTCTTCATTCACCTTCATTTTGCAGCATACGTTTGTTGGGCTTATTACTAAAACGGAGACTGTGTTTGTTAAGTGCATCAGGTCACCCTGCAAGGCTGTTGGTTCAGACATGGGCTGACAAGTGCTTGGTCCTTTTAAACTGCTTTAGATAAAACTTCCTCTCTTTCTTTCCTCCTTTACAGATTCCAGCAGCACTATGGCAGAGCATAGCCACATGCAACAACAGCTGGATTTACAGAATGGAGGTTTAGAGGCAAGCTTTGAGGCGAATTCCCTCGAGAACAATTCCCAGAACATGATGGAGAGCCTGAGCCCAAAGAAATATTCTTCCAGCCTGAGATTTAAAGCCAACGGAGACTATTCTGGCTCCTATTTGACCCTCTCACAACCTGTGCCTGCGAAGAGAAGCCCTTCCCCTTTGGGAACCAGTGTCAGGAGTAGCCCCTCCTTGGCCAAAATCCAGGGAAGCAAGCCCTTCTCTTCTGATGGGACTGACAAAAACATGGCCATGAAGCCTCCCACTCCTTTACGCAGCACTTCACCCTCCCTGGGCGGATATCCACGCGGAAGAGCAGACTTTGATTATTATTCTGGCCGGGACAGTGAAAGGTCCCTGAGGCTCTCAGAGAAGCCTCCCTATTCCAAACATAGCTCAAGGAATAAATCCCATGACAATGTCTACTTTCTCGGAGGGCTGGAAAGCCGAAAGCCTTCTGGCTCCCTCTTGGCCATGTGGAACGGAAGCTCCCTGAGTGACACCGGCCCCTCTCCCATCAGCAGATCAGGGGCGGCCAGCATGCCTTCGAGCCCAAAGCAAGCCAGAAAAATGAGCATCCAGGACAGCCTGACACTTCAGGCCAAGTTGACCAGACACAAGGAGCCAGCAACGGAAAACATCGGAGTAAGAACTAGGAAGTATTCTGGCAGCAGCCTGAGTCACATGGGAGCCTATAGCCGATCGCTGCCCAGGTTGCACAGGGCCACAGAGAACCAGCTGACGCCTCTCAGTTTGCCTCCAAGAAACTCTCTGGGCAATTCCAAGCGAAACAAACTAGGGGAAAAGGATCTACCTCATAGCATCATAGACAACGACAATTACCTGAATTTTTCTTCTTTGAGCTCAGGTGCTTTACCCTATAAAACCTCTGTGTCTGAGGGCAGTCCTTACGTCGGTTCCACCCTCAGTGTCCCTGGCAGTCCCCGCATGGCTCGGAAGATGCTTCTGGCCTCCACCTCCTCCTGTACCTCTGATGACCTTGAGAAAGCTTCCTACTCGGGGACCAGCTCGGGTCATTCATTTCCTCCCGTAGAGCCAGACAGAGTGTTTGCAGCCAGGAGGAACTTCTCTTGTGGGTCTGTCGAGTTGGATGATGCCGAGTTGGAGAGCCTCAGACAGGCCTCAGGAACTCCCCAGCCTGTGTTTCGGGAACGGAAAAGCAGCATTAGTTCCATTTCAGGACAGGATGACCTGATGGATTACCACCGGCGGCAAAGGGAGGAGAGGCTCAGGGAGCAGGAGATGGAGCGATTGGTAATCATCTGACTTGACCTCACTGTTTCCTTGAACAGCTTCTTGGAGACAAACTCCAAGGATGTATGTGGGCACATAGAATTTCCATGCGCACCAGTCACTGCCGTCCCTTCCTAGAATTCCTCCTGCTGTCTCTCCTCTTCCCAGATCACTGTTATTAGTCACTTGTGGTATCAGGGAGGCCCACAGGTGCCTAATGTTAAGTTGCTCTGTAGAGTTCTCACAGGTATACACTCTTGAGAAAACTGACAAAGGTAGTTGTGAATTTTACTGAGTTTCTTATGCCTTACAAACTTTTTCTTTAAGACTGTGGGGAAACACCGATTTGTGTTACGTTATATCATCAAATTTGCGTGTCCATGGTATGATAGAAATAGTAAAACTATAACTCACCAGGATTTAGGCAGGATTCTGTATAGTAAGTTGTCTGGGAAGTAGAAAGGTTGCCTACGTGGTGCTCAACCCTTTTCCTGCACTGTACACACACACACACCCCTCATACGCCCTCCAGTCCTGTCTCTCAGTCCATAGAGTGACTCCCAACTACCCACACTCAAAATCTTTTTGACTTGTCTTTCTCTATTTAAAATGTACTTATGCTTCTTGTGGGAAATACTGAAAATAATGAGAAAGGAACAAACATTCCTTCAGAGTTCCATAATGAATGAGGACAAACTACTGCATTTTTCTGTTCTCTTTTCTTTTAAGCATAAGGTTTTTTGTTTGTTTTGTTTTTGTTTATGGATGAATAGCTGTCACAGATGATGTGGACTCATTAGTGATGAATTATGTATTTCTTTAATGAGGGAAGCAGCAGGATGGTAAAGCTGGTTTACAAAAGTGTAGGCGTATCAAAAGTATTTTAGTTACTAGGAGAAAGTATGGGAAAAAGATTTCGGAATCACATACCAAGCAGTTAATGGCCTATAGGACAATACAGTTGTAACCTTTGGGTTGGTTAAAATGGGCAGAAATTATTAGCATCTATATAGGATAAAATTGGTCTAACATTTTAGCAAAAGAATCATTTGCATTATCCATCGATTTGATAATTTAATGTCTATTCTTACAGACTTTCCTAATACCCTAATATGTAATAGTAAGAACACAAATGTGTGTACCCTTAGGGAGTTAGCTATTCTTTGGGTGAGTCTGTTAGGCGATGCTCCAGTATGACAGTTTCTTTTGTTATCAAAATCTCCAGAGATTTTTCATGGTCACAAAAAGGCACTATATTTGGGTTTGATTCATTGTCATAGGTCCAGAAGTTTTCATGAGCATATAAAAGCCATATTGTATATGGATAGCAAACTTAGCACTATGCTATACTGAACAACTGTTATTAATGGAGTAGGAGAACTAACATCTATTTGATCATTTATTAAGGAATCTAGGAGAGCATTTCACTGGTTTCCATCACTCCAAAGATCTTCCTCGAATGCTCTTATTTATTCTTTTTTTTTTTTCAATCTTCACCCAAGGATATTTTTCTGTTTGTCATCAGATCGAGTGGGAGGGAGGGAGAGAGACAGAGAGACAGAGAGAGAGATCGAAACATTGATGTAAGAGAGACACAATGACTGGTTGCCTCCCACATGACCCGACTGGGGTCGGGGAAGAACCGAAACCGAGGTACATGCCCTTGACCGGAATCGAACCCACAACTCATTGGTCCGTGAGCTGACGCTCCAACCACTGAGCCAAACCGGCCAGGGCTCTTATTTATTCTTTTTGTTCCAAGGATAGGAAATTAGACTCAAAATTTATTTCTACTGGGTTTCATCTTTAGCACTTATAAGTGTTGGTGAATTTCTCTTTCGTCCAGTGCCCCCACATCTGCCAAGGTTCCTGGCATTCCAAGAAGTGACCGTCCTTACTGCCTGTAAAGCTGGTGTCTTGTAAGCCACCAGTAAATCCTACTTCAACTTCTTGGAAGAGCTCTGTGGGTATTGGCTCCAAATATAAAGTTATAGCTCTTTTTCTTTAATAATGGGCTTGTCATATCTGATGAAATGAGGTTTAGTTTTAAGTATGAAAGTCTAGGTTGGGCCTCTGTTTCATAGTCTGTTTGTCTGATTACATCCCAGTGAAACCGAGGACAAAGTCTTATTGAGACTCTGCAAATAATGTCACTACCATTGAAAAGCAAAGAGTCTTAGAAAAAATATTTCTTCCTGATTTCTGAGGGACCAAGCAGAAGAAGCTACCATTAAAAGGATGTTTTATTTAGTTTGCAAAATCATAGTCAAATTGAAGGTTAGAGATAGATCAAGATGAGTACTAAAGGGTTTTTCTCACCAAAAAATAGGACATTGAAAATAATACCATTAATTTTCCAAAACACATATCTACATTTAGAAATGTGATTTCCTTTATCAGTTCTATGATTTTAATTCTTATTCCCCTGCATATTGAGTCATTAATTTAATTACATGAAGTCCTCTATTTCTGGACTAAAAGAAGTCCTGAGAATCTGGTGTAGCTGCCTGGTACTGTCTCATACTTGTCTACATAATGTCAGCTCAGAAGCCTCTACCCATAAGTCTCTTCTTCGAACTCTCAAGAGTGAAGAGTACCTGGTAAGGTTCTTCCCGTAAGGCTCTGGGACTGTCTTTCTTTGTGAAAGGCACATTCTAGTACATAACTTAAGCAGAGTCTTCAGGTAAGCTTGAGAGAAAAGCAGAGACTGTCGGTGAGTTAAGAGTAAGTGGCCATGGTTAATCTATGGTAAATTTAACAAACGGTATCAGCAAGAAAGAGAATTAAATTTTTCTATCAGGGCACAAGACGGTCCTACTTAATCAGTGTTTCCTGTGAGGGTAAGAGAATATCACAGAGAATAAGGACACACATACATCCAGGGTCTTTCTGTAAGTATGCATCTCTGAGCTTTATTTATATTATATTTTATCTGTACAAAATGAGCCTGAGAAAGGCTGAGCTTCTCATTTGGTTTGACAAATCTTCCTACGCAATTCTTGTTAGTGTTGATAGGTGGCATACCAAACAAACCTCATTATTTCTAGCCTTTTTTTTTTTTTGGTAAGGGTAAGGAACAAATCTGTGTGATTGCCCAGCTGTCCTCTGGGAAAATTTTAACATGGTTCAGGTACAAAGGATATCTTGGAAAAAAAGTTTTTTTCTAAATTAAGGTCTGATCTGAGGAAGGCAAAATCAAATATTAACCAGAGAGTTTATCACTAGAATAATACAGGATTGTCTATACCTGTGAATGAGTGTTTGTGTTTGGTTACTTCATAATTAAGTAACAGTAGGTTATTTTATAATAAACAAGAAATATTAAGTTCTTTAGAAATGAGAAGGTTTTTGGTCATTTTAATTATGCAAGGATATATCCCAGTTAGCATACAGCACACAAAGTTACTCTTGTGAGATACTGAAACTCTGCTTTCTGGGCAGATTACATAGAAAAATAAACTTTTCCTGCCTTTGGCAAGTGTAGGCTGATTTCTCCAAGATCAGTGTGTCATTTCAGTAGATAACTACATTTCAGTTTTACATTAATAGGGCACTTATTGTGTGGAACATTTAAAAAAAATAATACTTACTTCATAAACCTATCGAAGTTTCATAAATTTTGTCAGAATTATAACATTTTATTACATCTATATGGACTTAACTCTTTGCAGGTATTATAAACCAAGTCAAATAAAGCTCCATTTCTGCAAACCTACCATTTTTTAATTTTCATCAACTTTTGTCCTTCACAGTTTTCTTTCATATTCTGGAACAACCAGACACTTTAAGACAAAAGTACTTAACTTAAAGATATTGGAAATTATGTTTAAACTGACACTTCACAGAACATAATTACTACTGATGTGAAAAGCTTGGTTACTATTATAATTTTGTTTGGTAGAACACAAATTTTGTATGTTTCATAATCTTAAGTGTCATACGGAAGTAATCTTGGCTTATCTTTGAAGTAAACCAATACATGACATTTCAGAAGTTCAGATTAACTAATCCCTTTTATGATAAACCAAATCCAACCTATTTAAAAAGGAAATTATACTTGTATTGTACTATACACTGATAAAATAAGGCAAAGGCAAAGAGCTGTTTTTAAAATAAGATTATCAAATTAGTGTGACTTGTATAAACATTCACTTTAACTAAGTAAACTTGTTTTCTTAGGGGAAAAATGCTTATGAAGTCACCAGTTTTGATGAGAAAGGTCTTTTTCTAAAAGAAGAACACATTAAAATTATTAGAATTTTATTTCATTTTCTAGAATTATAAACTAATCCACAGCAGGTTAGTTTAAATTATTGTTGTCCTCAGGAGGTAGGAAAATATTTCACCCACACACAGTGATTTTTTCCTCTCAGGTAGAGACACAGACAAAGAACTAAGCATAAGTTCACAGCTTCAGCTACAGATCAAAAGTAAACACTGGAACAAGACTGGTGGCTTTTCCACTGGGCCCAAAATATTGCCCTGATTTGAACTCACAAACAGAAAAACAGTAAACAAATTAAAACCAACAACAAACAGGTGTCCAGTCGTCTTTCACCTGAGCAAGACTAGATTCCAGTTCTACCGGACAGATGCCAAGTGGTCAGACCATAAAACCAGATTCCCCGTCATTGCTGCCACCAATGGGCATAATAACGATTGGCTGTGTTTGAACAAAAACCCCAATCCAACTTGGCTGAGAATCAGAAACAAAAACAAAAGCACAGAGTAGGAAAACAAAACCTTCAGAGAAGATCTGAGTCAGTGAAGGTCAAGTTCTACTGCCATTTGGGATCTGCTCCAGGAGCCAAGAAAAGCTGTGTCTGGGCTTCCAGCCCGAGAGGTACACCTCTAGCACGGTGCAGTCCGCTTGGACATTTCACTGGGACCTCCAAATTGTCAAAGCATAATTTTCAAAAAATAAACACAACTCTTACACAAATACAGAATGAATCCATGCCAAAGATTTATTGAACTCGTTAATGAGGGAACTAAGCAGCGTAAAGCTGGTTCATGAAGCA